AGCTTTTTGTCTAAAGCTGATCAGTTGCTTATCTTTAACATACTGCAAAAAAAAAACCCTCTTTAGTATTTGTGAAGATTAACAAGTTTAAAATAGAAGCAATCATAGCTTCACACTTTCATTTTATTTTTAAGTAAATAAAATAAAGTTGTTTCGGCCCCCAAATACAGTTCAGATTTTTCATGTGCCCCCCCTATAAAAATTAATTGCCAACCCCTGGCCTAAGAGCAGTCACTGGAAAGTGTTTCTGGATGTCTGCTCTGCACATATTCAGTACCACAAACTGAAACATAATGCTTAGAGGCCCACCCTTAATCAATGGAATTCATTTTCCTTTATGTGTTTAGAGCTGGGACATCAGTCATTTTGTTCCTCAGTTTCCATTGTGAGATGGTCCAGTTTTATGTTGCCGTTACTGTATTTTGAGCATTTTTCTATTATGTTTGGTCAAAATGGATTAGAAGAACAGCATAGTTTTTATCAGTAGGAGAGCTGATGTTATCTTCACATTCATAACTTTAAATGCAATTTGCTAATAATAACAGGATTAACACATGGATCAAGCCTTGGTTTGGAGTGCTCTTCCTGCCACTGCCTTGAGCACATTTGTGGGTGTGCAGTGAAGAGGGGGTGGACAAGCCAATGAGTTGTAGCATTCAGATGTTTGGAAAAGTAACTAGATAACAGTTCCAGTTACTTTTGAGGAAGAGAAAGGTAAAACATTTGCTTATATCCTGCTGCTTATGAACTGGGCATGGAACAACTCATTCTGTACGTGGTTCCTCTTTCGCTAGCTCTGGTGCAAGGAAGAATCCACTAATATTTTCTGGAAGCAGAAATCCCTGTCATTTTCAAATTGGTGCTTTCCAACTTTTATAACAGCAAGACAGAGAATGCCAGGGAAATGGAGAGTGCTCTGGTTACAAAGCCTTTACATTCCATGTTTGTCAGTGAGATTCTGGTGGTTATTTTTAATTTTGTTAACCATAGCAGTGAATAATTAAGCCCTGGAAACATAATGGTTTTCTTTTAAAAAATTGCTTTCTACCTTCTGCCCACTTTCCTCATCAAAGGTCTCTATGGCCTCTTCATATTCTTTCCAGACGTACTCAGGTCTTTTCTGTGTGACAATCAACCCTTACAAATGGCTCCCTGTCTACAAGACAGAGGTGGTCTCTGCTTACAAGGGTAAAAGACGTTCAGAAGCTCCTCCTCACATCTTCTCCATTGCAGATAATGCATACCATGATATGCTACGCAGTAAGTGATATTGCATGTTACCATTTTCCTTATTTTAAGCAATTGAATCTTGCTTTCTTTTTTTTAAAAAGTGGGGGAGTGGCAGACATTTGTCAAATATTGAGGTGAAAATCTCCTGGAATATACCGTATTTTTCACTCCATAAGACGCACCTTTCCATAAGACACACCAATTTTTTAGGAGAAGAGAACAGGAAAATATAATCTGTTTTCTTCGCTCCATAAGACACACAGACTTTCCACCCCCCTGTTTTGTGGGAAAAAAGTGTGTCTTATGGTGCAAAAAAATACGGTATGTTTACTTGTGAAGAGCAAAAAGACTATGGAGTGACCTGTGATTTTTGGCATCACTCACATTTGGAATAAAACAGTGAATGTAATTGGTCTCCAAGGGAAAGAGAAAGAGAGAAATGGCTAAGATAATGTTTAGTAACCATTACTTTTCTTACCAGAAACAATACTATAGTTAGGCTGTCCTTAACTTCTATGAGCAGTAAGCAATTCTATGAGTAGAGCTTCAGATTAGGGTTGGTTTCCTTTGGGAAGAGGTCACTTACTGTGAAGTCTCTATGACTTTTAAAACATTTGAGTTTATTTACAAATATGAGGCATGAATATTAGTGAACTAACTCTGATTGTAAGTTTGCCATAGCATGACCTTTTCAGAAAGGGACACCACACCATGATTTGATGCTGTTAATTTATGCATCTACACAGATTCACCTGTTCTGTCTTTTTCTCCAAAATCAGAATTGTCCTCTCCTCTTAGTGTGGGTTATCTGTGGGAAGGTTTGCTTTTTCTCCATTTCAAAGACTCAAGAAAGATCAAGCTATTAAGGGCAATTAGCTGGTTATCTCCATAACATAAAATGGGCTTGGCAGCTTCCACAATGTTGTTTTTTGGCTCCATTGATTGCCTCTTCTCTTGCCCTCAGTCTTAAAACATTATGGTCTAGTCCAAGGGGTCATAGGGACCATTTTTCATGTGGATCTCCTACAGACAAGAGTTTTTTCCCTGCAGCCTTTCCAATCCAGATGTATCATTTTCATAAACCCCAAACAATACATTCATGTCTGAGAACAAGGAGAGCTGTGTTCAAACACATAGGGAGAGGTGAGAGAGTCAAGTGGATGAAGAACTTGGTTTGCTTGGATCCCAGTGCATTCGGGTGGCCACACCATCTTTTCATAGCACTGTCTTGTATTTCAAGGGCTGTGAGAAAACTGTATCCTTTTTTTGACAGTATTTGAAAGACTCCCTATGGCTCTTTAAGATAAGAGAGAGACTGGGGGCCTTCAATTTGCCATCAATAGTTAGCCCTTTTTTTTAAAAAAATCACTCCCCTGGTTATAAGTTTATAGTTCTAGAAGAGGTAGCCTGTAAGTCTGTACAAGCATTACAGACAAAAACAAAGGAAAAATAAAAGAACAAAAGAACAACAACAAAAAAGGCCAAAGACACTGTGGCACCTTAAAAGACTCGCAGTTATATTTTAATGTGAACTTTAAATCCGGTTCCTCATATATAAGAGAGAGCTGTAACATGGCAGATTTTTATACATGACCTCAAAATACAGAGACCAGGGTTGGTTGGCTAGAAATTTGCAAAATGTGTGAGTCAATGTGGTTTTTAACAGAAGGGTGATAGTCTCTGTTGATATTCATATCTATCCCATTGAAGCTTGTATTATAAAAAGGTGTAGGAATCCCTGGCAGAGAATAATAATAGCAGAAACAACATGAATGTTAATTGTACTAAGGAAATTGGCTTTTTGCAGTTGTTAATTACTTTTAAGACCCTTGTTTGATAGTCACTTCTTTTGTAGGTGGTTTTGTAAACAGTGGCAATGGAGGGGGGAGTGGGTGGGTGGGAGTTCAATTACTCCAGGCAATAGAGTATAACAAGAACAACATGGTTATACCGGCCTTTCTTCTTTACATAAGTACTGCAAGCACAATAAACTTCCAAATATATGATTTTGTTTTGGTCAACCAACAAAACAATCACAAAAGTAATAGAAGCACAACCCCCCCATTGCAGATTAGAAAAACGACTGAACAAACAAACAAACAAATGCCAAAACAGGAGTTGCTCTAGGAAAAATGGTCTCTAAAACAAAATAGGTCAGGAACCAAGTCCCAGATGTTTTTATCACCCAAGGGAGAAGATCCACAGCCCAAAGTATGCAGTCTTTAAGGCCCTAAAATAAAATACAGGTTCAGATGCAAATAGGTAACACAGCTACATGAAGCCACCCTTCCAGTGCCCTGCACAAAGATATCAAAATTCTACTACCTAAACCAAGGTGGTAAGAGTGTATACCGCCCTTCAGGGATAAGCAAGTTCTGCCCTCTCCAGCTCTTCCTTTCTTTGTCAACTGAAATTTGCATTGCAGCCCCTTCTTTAGATTTCCCTGCTTAATGGGGAAAACCATAGGGGTAGAACGTGCACAGCAGGTTCATCTGCCACAAAAGTCACCTGGTCACACTCTCTCCCATAGGGATAGACAATATGTCAGTGCATTGCCAGACTAAAATGTCATTGCCCCCTTTCTCCCAACAATTGGCTGGGAGCCACCAGTTCAGAGCACTTGTCTTTGTTGTCAGATTTCTCTTTGGCTGAAAGGGCATGGATAAGAGTGTGACAAATGGCTCCTCCTTAAATAGGAACCATGCGGCCACAACAATGTTTTCAAACACTGGAACAATTTTCGTTCAGAAGGGGAGAATTATGCACATGCTTTGTGACTGAAATCCATATAACCGGCCTGAGCTGCATCCAAATATTGGAGGCTTTTCTGTCATATTTCATGTCTTCCTCATATGTTGGAGCAGCAGTGGGGTTATGATGTACAATATTGCCTCCATCGACCAGACTGCAGATTTCAGTGCGTTAGATTTCTTCCATCAGAGGGCAGTAGTAGTGCATGTTTAACATCTGGGACACCAGTATGTGCACAGCCTTAGACGTTCTTGCGTATTACCAAGCAAGCTTGGGAGTCTTGTCAGTTTTTTTAAAAAAACTAAAGCAGTAAAGAGTACAAGAGACATATTGCCATTTATAAAGGGAAAAAATGTAATGTATCATGTTATAATTCAAAGAGATGCCTTTTAAGATGGCTGGGTTACAATAATGATGAATACCAAAACAGGAAAACCAAATCTTTAATTATGCTTGGCATAGTAATATAGATGTTTATAATTTTATATATTTCCCCGTTAAGAGGCATAAGCTGTTGTTGTAGAGGCACAAGGAAACCCTTCTGTTTTACACCTCCTGGCTTTAATTGTCTTGAAGCCTTGAAAGGGATAAGAATTTTCTTCTGTATCACAACTCTCTGGGCACTAAGCATAGTTCAATATGTTTGTAGCACGAAATGACACTTTGAGGAGCCGGAAGCTTTTAATTCAGCCTCTTGCATTTTGAAAATAAATTGTATGCTTGCTTCATGTAATGTCAATTTTATGTGTTCTCCTGCCTCCTCTCTCCCCACATTCCTTCAATATATGTCAAAGTATATCACTAAATAGGCAGGGTGCATGATTGGTATTGAGAGACCATCCCTATCTAGCTAGACCTCCATGGTTTAGGACCTCGATATCTGGCAGAGCGCCTTCTCCCACCCAGTTTTGCCAGAGTCACTAGTTCCAGCCAGGCCGGGTGGCTGAGGGGCCCAATGCCAAGGGAGGTCCAGAAGGAAAGAACGAGGAACAGTGCCTTCTCGGCAGTGGCCCCTCGCCTTTGAAACAACTTGCCAGTGGAGATCTGCCTGGCTCCCTCTTTGGGTGTTTTCAGGAATAAACTTAAAACCTGGCTATTTGGGCAGGATTTCCCTCCTGCCATATCTTAATTTCTTATACTTCAGCATCCTGGACCTATAAAATAAGTTCTGGGTTTTATTGTTTTTAAATTTGTAAACTACCCCGAGTAGATCTTTGGTCTAGATGGGCGGGATAGAAATCAATCAATCAATATCAATCAATCAATTAATCAATCAATAAGGGGCAGGATCCAACAGTGAATTTATGCTGACAGAATGGTGGAATCAAGAGTTCCCAGGAATAGAATGATTCCACTCCTTTGGTGTAGTGCAGAAAACTGCAGGTGGGGAGGAAAAGCTTGAATTGTGGGTTGAAATTTTGTTCAGGGACAAAAAAATATTAAATGTAAGCCTGGATTTTGCTACGTTTTTACTGTGTAGTATGAGAAGAGTCCAGGTGAAAGAGAAGCATCTAACATAACAGGATTAGAAACCCTCTAATCTAGATGTCTTTACTTGACAGTGTTTTCCTTGTCATGCAGCCTTTGATATGCTAATTAACCTTAATGTGTCACAATTCGTTCTGAATATTCGCTTGTCTGCTGCTTTCCTGTTCCCTTTGAGGAGCTCTGTGAATGGCAGAAACAGCTATTGCTTTTGGAATTCCTACCAAGAAACATATCTGATTATACTGTACAATTTTTCTGCTGCATGGCCAGGAGTTTACAGCAACTTCTGCAGTCACTTACACGGTAAAGAGTTGGGAGCAAGGTAGTTTTAAAAAGGGCCTGATATGAATTGGGTTTGCTCCACAAAACACTTCAGAATATAATACATGAACCAATTCCCTTGTTAAGGAAAGTATGAAAGGATTTCTGTTGTTGTTAATGACGATTACGATGATGTACAATTCTGCTTGTATTTTTTCCCATTACAATCTATGATTTAAGTGATGTTTGTTGTTCTTCTTTCCCTGCAACACAGATCGGGAGAATCAATCAATGTTGATCACGTACGTAGATCTTTTCAGTTGTCTCATAGTAACAAAGTAAACTTTCCTAATTGGTTTCTTGTTTCTAGTATTCTTTCACATATTCTTACTTGTTATTTACCTACTAACTGCTGGAGGCGCTTCCTTTACACTGATGTAAAGAAAGAATGAATTTGCCCTTGGATTCCACTATTTTAATACAGTACCTGGGTTTGCTTCTGAGCAGAACTGTAAAAAGTTAATTTTCTGGATTATAACTTTTAGCATTTCTCAGCTATGCTGGGTAAAAGACTCTGGAAGTTTTAGTGCATATCTTCAGCAAGCTGTAAGTCTTAACATATGAAAACTGTTGATACAGTACCCAAAATTGTCTTAGGGATGTAAGAAGAGCTGTTGGATTAAACCAAGAGCACATCTAATAGAGCATTCTATTTGTTTCTCTGTTGTATTGGCTCTGCAAGGAAGCGCCTCCAACTGTTAGTCATAGGTAACAGGTACACTGCCTATGAACCTAGTCTTTTCATATACAGTGGTGCCTCACTTAACGATTGCCCCGCATTATGACAAATCCGCTTTACGACAATCTTTTTGCGATCGCAAAACAATGGTCTAAATGGGGGAATTTCGCTTTGCGATGATCAGTTCCCTGCTTCGGGAACTGATCCTTCGCAAAAAGATGGGTTTTTTAACAGCTGATCGGCGGGTTCAAAATGGCCGCCGGGTGATTAAAATGGCTCCCCGCTGTGTTTAGGGACGAATTGCTATACAGGCAGTGAAAATAGCTGCCGTATGGAGGATCTTGCTGCACGGTGCGTTTTTACCCCATTGGAACGCATTGGGTTTCAATGGGGTTTTTATTTTCGCTTTATGATGTTTTCACTTAATGGCGATTTTCCTGGAATGGATTATCGTCGTTAAGTGAGGCACCACTGTATTGTGAGTGTTGGTTAACAGCCATTGAGAAACCCAGCTCTTGTCAAAATTGTATTTTTGGACTACAAACTGGAGATTCTGAGATTTTTTTGTCTCCCAAGAGAATTTTTCGGAGATCAGTGTAGTCCTGGTTCAATAGATCTATATCCTTCGTAGTAGACATTAGAAAGAATGGCCTTTGTGGAGAAACTGTTGAGCACCATTAATTAAAATATATGCCCTTTAAAAGTAAGAAAAACAGAACTGTAAATGGACAAGACTAATTGCACAGAAAATGCTGGAATGAATAATTAGATTCTCTTTCTGTTTCTAGTGGAGAGTCTGGGGCTGGGAAGACCGTGAACACGAAACGGGTCATTCAGTACTTTGCCACAGTAGCTGCGATTGGAGAACCTGGGAAAAAGAATGTAAATATTCAAGTGACTATTTTCTTTTTCTGTGTAAATAATATTTACCTCTACATAGGTGGAAGACTTTCTGTCTCCGAGCCATTGTAAGCACCAGTTAGCCAACTGTTAATTGCATGAGTGAGACTGAATGTACAGGTGTAAAACTTCAAAGTGATTCTGCTGATGCAAAGGTTCTGGGTCTTGTTTCCCAGTGAGTTTGGCAGTTGTTCATGAGTCCATTATCCGGAGTTTTAGATGACAAAAGATCAGCTCAAATTTAGATTATTTCACATTTTATAGTATCTTTATCCACAAGTTAGACGGCTCAGATCTCTGCTTCCAGATGCAGCTTTTATTGTGCAACTGCCCTGTCTCATAGGTGGAATTTTATGAGCAGCCCCCATTACATTTGGAGCCCTCCTGTGTTTCCCATCATTTCTTCTATCTTCTTTTTCTCACCATAAAAAGCATAGTGAAAAGAAGGAATGATGGCATAGCTGTTCAGTGGCTTTTGACTGGTAATACTAGTCCTGTGTTTCCCATCATTTCTTCTATCTTTTTCTCACCATAAAAGCATAGTGAAAAGAAGGAACGATAGCATAGCTGTTCAGTGGCTTTTGACTGGTAATACTAGGATGTAACCTAATCCCACCACGATTGTTTGTAGAGGCAAGGATTCGGGCTAAGGGTATAGTTACTCTTAAAGTGTTTATATTTCCAAAATGGTAGCAAGCATCCTGAAAGTTATGAGATGGAGAATCTGTAGAGAATTTTCTAAGAGTTTTATTCTCCTCTGGTATAGGAACTGGTAATGTTGGTGGACCCCTAGACCTATTTTCTGCCTTTGAAGTCCTCTTAGGGATGTATGTGCATATTGAGTGGGGGATAACACACAATCGGCCTTAGTACGACTTCTTGATCTGAAATATAGAGAGTTCTTTTTGGTATCATAAGTATACTTTGATGGGGGTGGTATGCTTCTGGAGACTTCGTGGAGCAGTGATTCGGCTCTTTTTTTCTGGTGGGAGAGGCGAAAGTGCATTTTGCTCAGATTGTGGGTACTATGAGAAGGGGGGAAACATTTTGTATCTCAGTCACACTCTGGTGGTGAGGTCTATTCAAAGGGGGTGCAGGATCCTCAAGAATGCTGTCTTGCTCTGCTGTGATGGCCAATCTGACCTAGATTCTTATAGTTTCACACTGTCATTAATGATAAGCAATTTGGTGTAGAACATTTATAGCACAAGACCATAATGGGATACCTGTGGATGTGGGAAGAGAAGAAAGGATGGGAATGCAGAAACTGTTCTTGCACTCGAGGGAAGATCTGGGCATGGCTCTATGCAGAGATAGCAGCTCTTGGTTCACCACAAAAACTGTGCATTGAGACATTTGGTGTAGAAATATCTATGAAGAAGTTGTTAACAGATAAAGATGTGCAGTAGCAAAAAGAGAAGTCTTTACATAATTAGATAAAGAGATGCATTGATAAATGAGGTTGAATTACACTTTGTCAGTTCTCAGTATTTCTTTAACATTTTGTTCCATTCTTCTCCTTCTCCTCCTAACTATTCCTTCCATAGCAACCAGCCACCAAGACTGGGGTAAGTAGATGAGTGTGTTCTTGTTCCATTTATATGCCACGTATTTTCTGAAATGCAGCGAATACTGTTCACTGGGCTACACAGACAAAACACATGCACAACTCTATTTGTAACTATGGACTAATTAAGCTGAAACGTGTATTAGTCATCATTCAAAAGCTAATTCAGTCATAGGAAATGTGTTCCAAAAATTGTTCTGAAACTTTTTACCGTATATTACCCAGAGCATTTAAAACTTTTTGGACTGATTCTTTTACACAGATTCCTGTTTATACTTGTTAATTCTTGCTTTAATATTTGAGATCTTCTTTGCTGTCATGCTAAAGCAGGCCTTTGGAACTGCAACAGAAGGTGTCTATCTCCGGACTAGATCAGATGGAAAGCTCTTTAATCTCACTAGATTGAGAGCGAAGACCAAAGTCCAACTGAAATGCATGCGGGACTTCCTCTTTGCTGATGATGCAGCCATTGTTGCCCACTCTGCTGAAGACCTCCAACAACTCATAAATCTCTTTAGCAAGGCCTGCCAAGACTTTGGACTAACTATCAGCCTGAAGAAAACACAAGTCATGAGCCAGGGCGTAGACTCACCTCCCTCTATTACTATCTCCATGCAAGAACTGGAGGTTGTTCATGAATTTGTGTACCTTGGCTCAACGATCTCTGACACACTCTCCCTAGATGTTGAGCTGGATAAACGCATTGGGAAAGCAGCTACCATGTTCTCTAGACTCACAAAGAGAGTATGGCTTAATAAGAAGTTGGCATACACCAAAATCCAGGTCTATAGAGCCTGTGTCCTGAGCACACTCCTATACTGCAGCGAGTCCTGGACCCTTTGTGCACGGCAGGAGAGGAAGCTTAACACCTTCCATATGCGTTGTCTCCGACGCATTTTTGGTATCACCTGGCAGGACAAAGTTCCAAATAGAGTAGTCCTAGAACGAGCTGGAATTTTCAGCATGTACACAATATTGAAACAGCGGCGTCTACGTTGGCTTGGGCACGTCGTGAGAATGGCTGATGGCCGGATTCCAAAAGATCTCCTGTATGGAGAATTAGTGCAGGGAAGCCGCCCCCGAGGGAGACCACAGCTGCGTTACAAGGACATCTGCAAGCGGGATCTGAAGGCCTTAGGAATGGACCTCAACAGATGGGAAACCTTGACGTCTGAGCGTTCAGCCTGGAGGCAGGCGGTGCATCATGGCCTCTCCCAATTTGAAGAGACACTTGTACAGCAGACCGAGGCAAAGAGGCAGTCCCGAAACAAACAAAACCAGGGAGCTGGACAGGGGACAGATTGTATTTGTCTTCAATGTGGAAGAGATTGTCACTCTCGAATTGGCCTTCTCAGCCACACGAGACACTGTTCCAAAACCTCCATACAGAGCACGATACCATAGTCTCTCGAGACTGAAGGATGCCTACACCATTTGTGACCCAATGGAGAAGTTGTTTGTAGAGTGATAAAACATGTTTCAGTCCACCAGTGAAATGAACTTCTGTGTGGTTTTAGAACAATTTGTCCCATTCTTTGCATTCTGTTCTGTTCCATGTTTTCAGCATGAAGTATGTTGACAATGGACTTTTTTTCCAGTAGCCAGTATCTAATTTTTAAATTGCTTCAAAGGTATCAAAATGTCAAGGTGTTCTGAATGCTAAAGAAGTAGAACTGAACGTTTAGATTAAAACAATTTTTTTCATGCAACAACAGCAGGTATCACTGGCAGTTTCCATCACATGTTGATATTCCTCAGTGATATTGCTTGCAAGTATATAAACTCAACAGGAGAAATGTTCATGTAGAGTTTTTTCTCCATTATGTGGAGGAATCACCTTGGACTGCTCTCAGATGTTGAATACAGACTACTAACTTCATTTCCTAACTTAATTATATTGTCATTAATAATAATGATAAAGCATTAACATTTGTCTGCAGTGGCAGCTGGCTTAGAGAGCAAAGCTACACACTAGTTATGCTGGCGAAGGAGATAAGTCTGTTGCTATGCTGACAGAATAGCTGCTGTGTCCTGTTTGTGCTAAGCTTGCCAGGAAAAAAAAATCATGTAACCAGAAAATATCAAAATTGTTGTTGAAAGAGCAGCATCCTTGGAAACACCAGTTCTGCAGCAATTAGCTGAGGCTGTGCTGATGTCAATGCTCATGGGTCCTGCATACAAAAAGGCAGCCACTGCAACTGGGGCACATTCCTGACTCAAGTGGGATGCCCAGTCTTTGCCACAGAGGGCTTATCTGCATGTGGGATGGGTGACTGCCCTGGGGATTGGAAACCCTGCCGGATTTTATTACCTGGAGAGTGGAAGAGAATCACAGCAGGCAAGCTGCAATGGTTGCATGTAGCTAAAGAGCAGAGGGGAAAAACATCTCAGCGAATGTCTGTAGGTTTATTTAATCACAGGATGAATCACCTTCTGCCTTACTTTTCAGGGGTTCTTTGTCTTGGTAACCCCAGTTGGCTTGCTTGTGCCTTGTGACCTGGAACAGAGTACCAGCTAGAGTTCCAGGCAGAGAAGTAACAGTAATTTTCTTAAATTCCTAGCAGTATTTTGGGGATCCTTATTCTTTTGGGCAGAGTGGCTCCTTTTAGGGTGAAATTATCTGCTTCCTTATTTTCTATTCTCAAAGTTTCTATTCTATTCTCTATTTATCTTGTAATAGGAAGCCCAGGAGATACAATCCCATGATATCCATCCAGTTATCTGGTTTATGACTAGGAAGTGAAGGAATATAAGATATGGTCAGAGCTTGGAAAAGTTACTTTTCTGGGTTATAGCAATGGCCACACAGGCTGGGGAATTCTGGGTGCTGTAGTCCAAAAAAGGAATGTGTCAAAATCTCAATATGTTATTTCTTAGTGGTGCCCCAATATACCCAAAACATTGCTCTATTATAGTTGCTTCACTAGAGTATTCGAGGTCATGGATTTTTCACAAATACAGCCCCATAGATCGCCTTCCACTGATTGTGCAAAAGTTTCCATCAGATCCAGAAATGGGTCAACCTATAGTGTAAGAGTGTTCCCCCGATGACCTTTCACCTTTTGCATTATCAGGGAACCTTGGAAGATCAAATCATCCAAGCTAACCCAGCCTTGGAAGCATTTGGGAATGCCAAAACCCTGAGAAATGACAACTCCTCACGCTTTGTAAGTAGGTTTTTTGTGCTTTAGCACTTTTCCAGTCTGGCTTAATTAACAATGTTATATTTATAATAGGAAATGCAGTAACTAAATAAGATGTGGTAGCATATTCTTGAAGACTGAAGCTTCAGGCTAATTTCCTATCCCCTCAGGTTTTAGTTGTTGAAATAACCACAGGATTCTTCAGCATGCAGTGCTGATAGCTATTCTGCTGTTACTGACTGCAAAATCCTCACACAAAGGGCTCCCAATGTGATGTCAGCTGCAGTGTGTATAACCGTATAATTTACTAGTCTGGTTCGCTCATTCCCTACATGAATTTGGAAAACTGGAATTTTGCAGCTTCCTGAATACTTGTGAAGAGCCAATCCATGTTTGTGCATATATAGGGACTATGAAGGGAATCTAGTGAACAGTCATGTTTGGGGAATCTAGTGATACAGTCATGTTTGGCAAAAAAAGAAAGTACACCCTCTTATATGGTTCTATGTATCATAGGTATCAGAATATCATCATCATCATCTGGTCCTTAGCAGGTCTGAAAATTAGGTAAATACAACCTCAGATGAACAACAACACATAACATACTACACCGTGTCATGATTCATTTGACAAAAATGGAGAAGTCATGTGTGGAAAACTAAGTACACCCTTACTGCTTCCATAGGAATTAAGTAGCAGCCAGGTGCTGCTAACCAATGCCCTTAAGTAACTGATCATCAGCAAGTGTAACCACCTCTATAAAACCCAAGGTTTTAACAGTTTGCTGGTCTGGAGCATTCAGATGTATGTTAATACAACACCAAGGAGGAAACACATCAGCAATGATAGCAGAGAAGCAATTATTGCTATCCATCTATCTGAGAAGGTTTATAAGGCTGTTTCCAAACAAGTCCATCATTCTACAGTGAGGAAATTATTAAAAACTGGAAAACATTCAAGACAGTTGCCAATCTTGCCAGGAGTGGACATCCAAGCAAATTCACTGTGCAATGCTCATAGGAATTGCCAGAAATTCCAGCATTATCTTCTGACTCTACAGACCTCAGTTAGCATGTTAAATGTTAATGTTCATGATAGTACAATTAGAAAAAGACTGAACAAATACAAATTGTTTGGAAGGGTTGCCAGGAGAAAGCCTCTTCTCTCTAAAAAGAACATGGTAGCATGGTTGAGGTTTGCAAAGTTGCATCTGGACTAACCACAAGACTTCTGGAACACTGTCCTTTGGACAGACAAGACTAAAGTGGAGATGCTTGGCCATAATACACAGTGCCATGTTTGGCAAAAAAACAAAAACAGCATAGCAGCACAAACATACCAAACCATCAAGTCCGGTGGTAGTGGGGTAATGATTTATTTATTTTATTTATTTATTTTATTTTTTATTTATTTTATTTTTATCCCAATTACGACCACTCTAGGTGGCTGATTTGGGCTTTTGCAGCCACATGATCTAGGCACCTTGAAGTCATTGAGTCAACCATTCCTCTGTACACCAAAGTATTCTAGAGTCAAATGGGGGGCCATCTGTCTGACAGCTAAAGCTTGGTCAAAACTGAGTAATGCTACAGGACAATGAGATCAAGCACACCAGCAAATCAAGAGAATGGCTGAAAAAGAAAAAAATCAAGGTGTTGCAATGGCCCAGTCAAAGTCCAGGCCTCAGCCCTGTGGTGGGACCTTATGATAGCTGTTGATAAACAAATGCCCACAAACCTTAATAAACTGAAGCAACTTTGTAAAGAAGAGTGGGTCAGATTTCCTCCACAACAATGTGAGAGACTGATAATTCATACAGAATATGACTATAGTACTTCAGGTTATTGCTGCTAAAGTTGGTTCTACAAGCTATTGAATCATAAGGTGTACTTAGTTTTTCACATATGGCTTCTCCATTTTGGTTTAAATTTTGTAAAATAAATCATGACACAGTGTAATATGTCATGTGTTGTTGTTGTATTTACCTAATTTTCAGACCTCCTAAGGATCCGATGATTATGTCCTTATACATAAAAACATAGAATTCAAAGGGGGTCTAATTTCTTTTTCATGACTGTATGTTGTGGATAGAAGCTGCCACTATGCTGTCTCTCCCTCCCCCCCTTCCTCATGCATATTCTTTGTACACCAGGGAGAAGTAACATGTTTCTTCTTATACTGTTGATCTGGAACTCCTATCAGCCCTGACCTGCACAGCCACTGGTGGGGGATTATGGGCATTGCAACTGCCCAACACGTCAAAGGCCACAAGTTGCTTTATACAATATAAATGTCTTACATCTGCCATTGGTTCCTTGGTTCAGAAAATAATCTAATAAGCAAGAACAGAAAATTGTATTCCAACCAGTATTTATACAGCTGCCAGAAAGAATTGTGATGCCAAATGTACATGTATCCTAGTACAGAAGTAGATGATAATTTAATCTTATAAAAATGCTGCAATAAATATACAGGTGCTACCCAACCCAACACATTTTGAACAAGTGTTCATTAGCGATACACAATGCATCTTTAAGAAGATTAGTAAAACAACAATATTGAAGCTGTTTGTTGGATGCAGATAAATGACCCCAAAAGATATATACATATATCTATTCATTTCATGACCATTCTGGTTTTTTTTTTTTTTGTAAAGCAATGTAGAGATCACTTCACAGCAAAAATAATTGGTGATATTCATTAGAAGTGGGAAGGAAGTAGACTTAAATAATATGCCTAGGAGTGTCAGAAATCTGAAAGAGTGTGCATGAACAAGGAGCTTTTCCAAGGGCCAGTCACCAGGAAGAGCAAGTGAAATACAACTGAACCAGATGTTTCATCCTTTTGTCAGCAGCTGTCGTGAGGGCTTAACTAAGATGAGGCAACCAGGGCTTTGCCCCAGGGTGCCAAATTTAGAGGTCATATCCCTTCCCTCACACTTCAAAAATTAGCTCAACAACCAGGTCTAGTGTCATAGGAAAAAATGACACTACACCAGGCCACTAGGGGAGAGCAGAGGAGAGGTGCTCAGCATACTGGGCTCTGCTGAGCTAATGGTGGGACGTCCACTCATGGCTTGGTAGACCGGATCTCTGGAGAGAGAGAGAGTCAGAGTATTAATATATTTGCTATGATCTATCTATCTATCTATCTATCTATCTATCTATCTATCTATCTATCTATCTATCTATCTATCTATCTATCTATCTATCTATCTATCTATCTATCTATCTATCTATCTGTCTGTCTGTCTGTCTGTCTGTCTGTCTGTCTGTCTGTCTGTCTGTCTGTCTGTCTGTCTGTCTGTCTAATTTTTTAATTTGTTCTTGTAGCTTTGATAGTGCTGCTGATCTCCTGGGTATGGAGCATAGCAGCACAAACAGGAGACATGTTGGCAAGGTGCCCAGTCCTGTAATTGTTTCTTGTGTTATTTTCAGATCACGAATAGAGATGGGCACAAACTGCCAGTTCGGTGGTTTGTGGCCATTAACCTTTCGATGAACAGGCATTCAGCACTTCCCAGCACTGCCTCTTCCAATGGGTGCCCTACTCAAAGACAGCTCCTGGAGGAGCTGGGGCAGGGAAGTTAGGGTACTGCCTCTGAGTGGGCGTCCACTGGAGGAGGTAGGGCTAGGAAGCATCAAACACCATCCAAAGGATGAACTGGCATGGATTGCCAAAACAGTGGTTCGTGCCCATCTCTAATAATGAATTATGAAGCTGATTTGAGGGCTCATTTAGTATTGTTTGCCCTGGATGCTAGAATTGCTAGGTATGGCTCTGGGCTATAGGGTGGAAATGTGTGCTGGGTAGTGGAGGTGGTGATAAGTAGTGGAAATCAGTACAAGTGCAGCATCACTGCACTGCCACCATCATCACCTGTACACAAAACAGAATGCAACACAATGTCAGTGAAGGGTACAGGTCATATGTAACAACAATCTCCAAGGGAGGAAGCAAAAGCAAGCTGGGAATTGTTCTAATGTTGATATGTTGGGTGCAAAATTGTAGAGACCACATCCTGTCTCTGCAGACCTCCTGCTCAGGTAGAGAGGAAAGGACACGTTACAGATTGTTGTATCTCCAGACACCTGCATATTGCACCATCTCCTGTGAGCAGATTGTATATTTTTAAATCTATGTTAGTACTTGTGGAATCATCGTCTTAGAATTGCAATGCTGGAAGGGCCCTATGGATCATCAAGTGCAGCTCCTGCCAAGGAGGCACCGTGGGGATAAACTCCCAACCTCTGGCTCTGCAGCCAGATACCTGAACCATTGAGCTATCCGGCAGATTATTGTCTTCTCAGGAGGAATGTTTTTAAATGCACATTAATATATAGTACAGTACTGTATCCCCTGTATCTTTTGGCCAAATCTTCAGTCCTGAAACAATATAACTTACATCTCAAGCAGGAGTGAGAAACCTCCATATATTTTAAACTATGACCTCCACATTCCTTTATGAGGTATGATAAAAGCTGCAGGCCAAAGTAACAAGAGGGCAAATGTTTTCTTACTCCTGATCCATAACAGGCCCTGGAAAAGTTGAATTTTTGAATCATGACTCCCAGAATCCCCCAGCCACTGTAGAGTAAATCATAACTTTTTCAAGCTTTGATTTAAAGCATCCCAAAATAGATTCCTGCCCTTTCTTTTCTTGAAGATCTCTAAAGAAGAGGATCGCTCAATTGCCAGTGGCAGATTATTCCACTGTACAACAGTTTTCATATGTAGGAAGTGTCTTGATTTAAATTTACCATCTTACAGCTTAAATAAATTGGAGGAACATAATGGGAACCCTGCTAGATCAGACGAGAGGCTTGTCTAATCCAGCATCCTGCTTCCTACAGTACAGAACCAGATGTCTGTGGGAAGCCCACAGTAGTGTTTGAATCCGAAAACATCCTCCTGGTCTTGTTCCTTAGCAACTAGCCTTCAGAGGTGTGTGTTCCCTAGCAGCTTCCTCTGAAGCTTGAGGTAATATGCAGCCATCATGACAAATAGCCCCTTATAGATTTAAGTTCCATGAATTCATCCATAGTTGGTGACAGCCACTCCTCCTTCATTCCACCCACATCTAGGTCACCACCATTTCCTACCTCACCTTTTTTTTCCAAATAAAAAGCTCTAAACATTGTATCCTTTCCTTAGAGATGGAAAAAGTGACTGCGCTGACCGATGACTATGCTGGGTGGATTATATTGGGAACTGTAGTTAAACAGCTACTGTAGTTAAATGACAACACCACCACCACCGTAGTTTTCCCCATCTTGGCCTTCCTCACAGGGTAGTTGTTCCAACCCCCTGGTTGTTTTGGTTGCCTTCATCTGTATCTTCATCTTTATACCTCTACAAAAGTCCAGCTCAGCTTGAAGAATGGCAACCAAAATTATATGCAGTATGTTAAATACCGTTGCTCCTTACATATATACAGAGAAATTTCAAAATAGGCTTTGCCACCCTTTCGTGGTGTTAAGGTGGTGTCTTTCAGACAAACCATTATTAATATGAATCTGCGTTGTCAGTTTGGAATAAAACATAGTTAATTGTAACTAGAAGAGATAGTTTCTGGACTCCTTCTCATGGATGCCTTAGAAGAAAAGGGGGAAAGGGATTGTGTCAGCCCAGGAATTTCCCCGGCTTATGCATGTCAGGCTGTGGTTTACAGTCATCTAGCCAAGTACAGCGTTCCGTGTATAGCCGCACTGGCCACATGACAACGGAAACTGTCTTCGGACAAATGCTGGCTCTACGGCTTGGAAATGGGGATGAGCACCGCTCCCTAGAGTCAAACACGACTGACTAAAATGTCAAGGGGAACCTTTACCTTTACCTAGCCAAGCACAACAGTTATGTTGTACCCAGAGACCAGACACATGCACACACATAAAATTCCCAAACACTCCCCACCCACTAAAAGTCCCCCACTAAAAATACAAACATCTACACCGCAGGCCAAGTTACACAGTCCAACTAATTATTCACTACTGGTGGTCTTTAAGCTCATTATTAATTGCAATTATAGCTCTAGGATAAAAACTATTTAGAAAACGTGTGGTCCGAGTCTTAATTGTTCTATATCTTCTGCCAGATGGTAACAGTTCAAAAAAGTTATAAGCAGGATGGGAAGAGTCTCTCAGGATGCTATGTGATTTCCTTAGACAGCGGGATGTGAAGATGTCATCCAGGGTTGGTAGCTGGAGCCCGATGATATTCTGGGCAATTTTAATGGTTCTCTGTAGAGCTTTTTTGTCCGCTACAGAGTTACTCCCAAACCATGCCAGAATGCCATAGGTTAGGACACTCTCAATGGTGCTACGATAGTAGGACAGAAGTAAATGCTGTGATAAATATAACTTCCCGAACATTCTCAGGAAATACAGCCTCTTCTGTGCCTTCTTTATTAGCATGTTGGCATTTATAGTCCATGAGAGGTCCTCTGAGATGTAAGTACCCAGAAATTTAAAACTACCAACTCTCTCCACTTCTTCACCGTTTATGTACAGTGGTAAATGTACATTTCTCTTCCTCCTAAATTCAATTATGAGTTCTTTAGGTTTTTTTATGTTAAGTGTGAGATGATTTTCTTTACACCATAGTATCAATCTATGATATGAGAGTCCTGGTACACAAGCTTTGCTTTGTTGGCCAGAATACTCTAAATTATATCACTTGAGTGCAATGGCATAAATAGCAGTGATAAATTGCTGCAGGTTAAAAAGTCAATGTTTCTCTCTTCATTGCATGCCAAGTCATGTGACAAGCATGATGAGAAATGTAAGTGGTGACTTCTTAATTACCATCAATTCACCACTGCAGTTTGTGCTGTTACATTTACACCAGTATATATAAGTAATAGGATTCTGGCATCTCTCTCTCTCTCTCTCTCTCTCTCTCTCCATACAAACATATATATAGATTTTAAAAATTTAGATTTTTATGACTGTTTTATATATATTTCCTTCAATGTTTGTGTGATTGTTTTTTTAAGTTGTACTATATACTACTTCATTGTGTTCTTTCATTTTAGCTTTTTCTTTAATCAAATAAGAAAACTGTTATTGAGCAGATTGGAAACACAGCAATATATGTATTTATTTTTTGATATGTGTTGCCTTTTGTATACATTATAGGGTAAGTTTATCAGAATCCATTTTGGAACCACCGGCAAACTGTCATCTGCTGATATTGAAATCTGTAAGTGACATGATAATTTTTATAATTACAAGAGGCAAATATTCTTCCTACACATTCAGGCCTGTTTCTCAGTCATATCTCATTGCTATCCAATTAGACCTGCTTGAGAAATCCAGAGTCATTTTCCAGCAGCCAGGTGAAAGAGACTATCACATCTTCTACCAGATCTTGTCAGGAAAGAAATCAGAACTACAAGGTAAGAATAAAGGAAGGACATGGTGTACAGCTATTGAGAGATGAGACTTGTAGATGAATGGGCTGAGTGAGAGGACCGTTATAGTGTGAAACAAGCTTATCTGAGCTGATTAACGCCATTGCACTGAACAACTTGCAACATGAAAAACGATCTGTTGCTCAATAGTGTTAGGTTAAGTGGATCCTTTTGTTTACACCTTTTAAAATAAATTAAAGGTGCAGTCAGCACTCCATGGTAACAAATGGTTACAGTTCAAATGAGTACTAGCATTGATTTGAATTGATTATTTAATCTCTCCATTGGCCATGCAGGTGCTAAACACAGATATCTGCACTCATTCAACAAGGCAAAATTACAGAAGAGGATAGGGCTTTTATCTACTGAAATCCACTTGGGGGTCATCTTGTATACATGCAAGAATCTGTACTTGTAGATATATTGGAAGAGCAGAAGCACTGGTCAGGTTTGGCAGGTTCAGTCTTTAAACACCAGCTTTAGTCCAACTAATTAGCCACATTATTTTTTTCTTGTGCTAAGTGTTTTAGACTATAACATTATTGTATTTCAGTTTTGTGAATTTTAGCTATAGGTCACCTTGAGCCTTTTAAAGAAAGTGATGTCCCAAGAAATATTTATCATCAGAATTGTCATTTCTGATTATTTTACCGTACTGTAAATATTTCTACTTTGGGGAGGGGAAAATGATGGAAGCAAGTGCTGGAAAGAAGCTCTGCTGGCTACTTCAGAAACATGCTACCAGTCAGATCCAACAATCCTGGCAAGGTAGCTTCCTATGGACCTTGGTTAGGAGTCTATCACCCTATTCAGAAGTTTTAAAATAGGGAAGAATACACACACACATTGGGAAGCATGCTTACACGGTTCCCCCTGTTCCTGGTTTCACCACACTCTTAAACATGGAGGTTGATGAGTTGGGACACCTGTGGGACTATCCGTGTGGATCAGAACCCTAATTTTCCAGGGGCCCAATGGACAGTGGAGGCTTGCCCTCTTCAGACACTTTATACCCTTCACATATAGGAGGGCAACAGAAGTGGTGAGGGAGAGGAGCAGGGCTAGAATGCTCCCATCTTCCTGTGAATCTTCTCTATGTTTTAAAATATCTGGGTAGGACTCTTGTTTACCATTGGGATTGTGCATGCAGTACTGTGTGAGGGATGGCCAACATGTGACAGGGGAGATGTGGTTAATCCCCATCAGTACTGTGTCATGTCAATAAAGATGTGCTTTCCCATCCATTGTGTGAGCTGTTCACATCTGTTCTCTAAAGCCTCTACACCTATTAGTGTCTCCGGATTGGGGGATAGGGTTTTGTGTATGGCATGTTTTTGTCTTGCCACAGTTATACTTTATGATTATGATTGAGTTGACAACAGATTGCTAGCACTCCCAGCTACGTGGTGCTTCTAGTAAGACAGCAAAGCATCTCTTTTTTTTTATCCTTGCACTAAATTGCTGCTTGGCAAAAGCAGTAATAATCTCATTTGAGTTCTTGTCATCCAGGCAGAGTGGCCCATCTGCTAAACCCTTAACCCAGTTAGCCTTTACTGTGGTCTAATTAAGGCAGATTAGAGGAACTGTTTCAAAGTAATTTTGTGCTAACAGGATTTGGACTCAAATATTGTACTGTGAAAATGTACCTTCCATGGTGAATTTATTCCCACACTACCCACATTGGCAAAGATTGCTGCATGCATAATCCACCACTGGAACATCTCTTTAGCTATTACAATAGGTTATTCACAATTGCCTTCCAGTAACATTTTTTGTAGATGGTTTGTACCTTTGACCGTATTTCCTATAATCTCAACATTTTTTGGTCCTACGTTTCCTCCCTGATTTTTTGCATAACTGACCTGATTTTCCATAGGCCAGTCTTACTATTAGGCAAAAGGATGCAGTTACCTCAGGTGGCAGATACTGAGGATGGGGAGCAGCACTGAGTGATTGGAGAACAGAGTGATGAATATCTTCCAGCCTGTTCTGTACTCTGTATGTTATATTGCTGTCATTTGAGTGCAGTAGACGATGCTGTCTTATTGCCATTACTGCAGTAAGATTCTTCTATTACTCAGGGTACCTTCTGTATATGGGAAAAAAATCCCATTTTATTCTTTCCCTCAGGCAGCAAATTGTCTTGGACCAGCCCTGAAGTTCTCCTTTTGGATATACTTTTTTAAAAAACATGCAATCATTGCTCTGGAATCAGCTGAGCACTCTTTAATAGGTTTAGAGTAGAGGTTGTTTTGGAGAGGAGATGTACTGGTGACCATTATTACTTTGAGCAGAGAAAGGATCAGGAGGTAGTGGTGCCTGCAAACTCTGCTCATAATATGCCCAAGATTGTGGAGCTGCTGAATAGGTGAATCTTTCTCTCTCTCTCTAAGCACATGAGCCATTTGGAGGCATTGTGCAGACATATTTGATTATCTGAGCATAGCAATAAAGTTAATGTCTCATTTTACCTCAGTCTGGAACCCAAAAGGAGAAAGAGACTGTACTGTGATTAGAAGAAGGTATTCCCTTTTTCATGTCATTTGCAAATTAGTTTCCTTTGTGTGTGTGTGTGTTTAATCTCCAGGATTTAATCACAAGATTTCTTTAAAATCCGATTTCTCAAACATGGAAGACTCTCTGAATCACGTGTCCCCAATGCTAACTTATTTTTAGCTGTAAGTATGGGATATCTATAATATCTGTTTCTGCCCCAGGATCCTTGTTACCACTATGTAGTATCAGCCATAAATAAACGTTTGAGAGGACTTTATTTAGTGGGGAAAGGCACAAGTGGGAGCTAGGTCTTTGTGTGGCTCTTTGCCATCCATTAGGGGAATAAAAGTCAATAATATTGCAGTGTCTCTGCATGTTTTATTTATTTGTTTAAAATGTTTTACAGTAGCATACCTTTCTCCTTTAAAAAGGACCCTAGATGGCTTACATAATTAAAAACACAATATTAGTCAAACATTAAAGAAGAATTAATGACATTATATTTAAAATGTTAGGTAAAACCATTACAAAACCAGATCAACAAAATATAAACCATCCTCTTTATTGGCTCTGGGTCACTAAGGGAAAGCCTATGTGAAGAGAAAAGTCTTTGCTTGCTCAAGGATAGCAAAGATGGGGTGAGCCTGGCCTCCTGTGGAAGGGAGTTCCAGAGTCTGGGAGCGCGTTATGCATTATCAACATAATGAAGTGGAACTTGTACTGCATTTTGGTTAATGAGATAACACATAGCAAAAGACCAGACTGCAAGGCGAGAAAGTGTTTGAACTACCTTTTTTTCATTTGCAGATATGCTGCTGGTGTCAACAAATCCATATGATTATCACATCTGTTCACAAGGTGTGGTTACTGTGGACAATTTAGATGATGGAGAAGAGCTGGTGGCAACAGATGTAAGATACTCTTTTTGATTAAGGAGGCACCCTAAAGGATGTAATCTGTTCAGGAAATTATTCTCACAGCTGCCCCTTTAAATTTATGACTAATCTGTGCCCAACTTAACAATTCAATGAATACTTGCATATTTTCTTTCCCATAAAGTGTGTTTCAACACAAACTGCAGGCCCCTTTCAAAAAGACAAAACAAACCAGAGTCAACTGTTGCAAGAGTTTTCGGGAGCAAAACCACAAGCATGTCTTTTCTCCCCATTGCATCTCTCTCACCTGTATTTTTAATTAAAATCTTGTATTTTGCATTTTAAAACTTGCATTTTGAACAATGTTTAAAGCAAAATACAATATTATTACAAAAAAGGGAGAGAGAAATAAGCCTCTAGACATTTTTCACTGAAATTGACGAAATGTATAAAATTTTGAAATTTTTTTGCTTTCACCTGTGAGAATGAACAAAAATGAAGATTTGTATCTCTAGCCCAACCCATGAAAATTTTGTCCCACACCACAGAGTACTATGCAAGCATCAATGTGTTATTAAGTCATGATGGCACAGATAAAAGGATTGCTACAATTTTCTGTATGCAGAATTACAGTATTCTTTGTATGGGGTCCCTCTTAGCATAATCTCTCCAAACAGGAGCAGGAGGGAATATTCAGACAGGGTCTTATTAGCTGGACATTTTAATTAGATTTTGGAGTAATGGCAAAACTGCTTTCACCTCTATACACGTGTACAGGTATTAATAATTTAGCATTTATTAGCATATATAATTATTAAACTATTTCTATATTGCGTAGCTGACACGGTGGTTGCAGTCAGATCAATGTTAGTCCTTTTCAGTCACTCTGAAACCCCAAATCATCAGCATGGTTATAAGGAGGGGCTCATCACTTCCCATCATCACTTTGCTGACACAAGCATCAGTGAGTCTGAAGGGGAAGGGTGTGCTCGCATATAGGTTCCACATGAGAGCAAAAACCTACACATGAGCAGGATCCTTTTCTTCTTCATACTTGCTGCTTGCATAAGCAAGAGATTATGGGTGTGTGGGGGGGTAGCCTCTCTCCTCATAGTGACTTAGTGATTTCAGAATGATTGGATAGGGCTGATCTCAAACATGAACAGGGAATGTCTGACTTTCCCAATGGTATTGGGTTGCAGACACAATCCTCCCATAGGCAGTAGCCAGTGGTGAGGGAGGATTGAAGGTGTAATGGAGCAACATTTGCAGAGACCTGTGTTTCCTGAAATAAAATGAGTGAATGAAAAGATTCAACAAAGAACATGTTAGGGTAAACAGCCTACTCTGACATAGTTGACTGTATAACAATCAGATTTTGTTCTCAGCAATCTGTGTGAACGTCTTCATATAATCGCTTGATAGCGCCCTTCAAATTGCAAATTCGAATAGTGCAGATACCTACAGAAATATCCCGTGTACCTTTTCCCAAGCCCTGAGACTTCCCTTCCTCCTATAATTCAGCAAAGATTCACATCATGGGTTTTTTTTTTTTTTTTGGAAAGGAGATTGTATAATTATATGTTTATTTTGAAACTATTTTACACACAGAGACACAGACACAGACACAGACACAGACACACACAGACACAGACACAGACACAGACAGTCTCTCTCTCTCTCTCTCTCTCTCATACACACACACACACACACACACACAGAGAGAGAGAGAGAGAGAGAGAGAGAGAGAGAGGAGTTAAAAAATCGAAGTGTCTTTTTAATGCTGTGAACTACTCTGCCCATTTGGGGAATACTGGAGGTTGAAAATAAATAACAGAGGCTTCTTGTTCCACCAGTTTCTGTTTTGAAAGATCAATACCCGAGCAAGCACAAAAACACCAGCCACACAGAGAAAGATTTTTTTAGAAAATAAAGCTACATGTTGTCTCAGAGAGACAAGTGACAAAATGTCCTGTTCTTTCCCCACCCCCTCCTTTCTTTAGCAAGCCATGGATATTCTGGGCTTTGTTCCAGATGAAAAATATGGTGCCTACAAGCTCACAGGTGCCATTATGCACTTTGGAAACATGAAATTTAAACAGAGACCCCGGGAGGAGCAGGCAGAAGCTGATGGCACTGAAAGTAAGCATTTTCTTCTCTTTTCACCGTCTACATCTCATGTCCTGGGTTTGGTCCAAACTGTAAATTAGAGATAAGCCATTGAAATCACATTAATGTTCCAGAGATATGGTTCAGGCACACTTTTATGTCTAAGAACCAGCTTACATCCTGAAAACCAATCACAAAACAAGGTAATTTACACACTATGGGCAGTGAAAAAAGCTCTTCCTATGATAGTCACAACAAGCCATCAGCACGTAAAGTATTCCGGCCCCTCACCTCTGTATCTGTAATATATGGTTCAGCTCTTAAACTGTAAACCTGAAGGTAGGGCCTGTTTCAAGTTCCGTTTTGGACTTAGTGTCAGTTCCCTCACAATGAAATTGCTGCAGGGAAACAAGACCTGGGCCTTTCATTAGGCAAAGAGAGGCTGCTGTCTGAGGTGACAGATGTTGGAAAGCAGCAGAGGAATTTCCTCAGCCACTCCTCCTGTGCCCCCTCTTGTTGTTCTCCTTCGTTGGAAGACAGAGCTGCATCTATCACATGGACCATCGAAACTAGACTACTTATCAGCTATGGTCATGGTACTGTCCTCTTACTAGTACTGAAGTTAAGCATCAAACTAAGCATAAGCTCAACTCACACTTTGAAAATGATCACCACATGTTTGTCCATTAGTAATGAGTTTTCCTCAGAGCTGCATCCCTCAGCAATCCAAGTTGCAAATGAAGCTTGTGTTTATCTCCAAGTGCCCAATAAGGAAATAAAGCAGTTTTACCATTTGAGGGAGCTGCTTCTAAGCGTGAGCTGAATATTTTGCCCAGATTAAAACTAATATTCAATTGCCAGTCCTCCTGGCTTCTGAATGATGAATGGGGAGGCACCTTGAAAATCTTACAGATTTGTGTTAATCCTGTGTATAGTTAAAATCACATGCAATGATCCTACATAACAGGATCATAGTCCTGTTAGGATGTTATCTGGTGTTATGTGTGGAGTCACCCTTGGTCAGATGGATTCCTCACACATGAGCGTTTACTGTGTGAACTTCTGCAGAAGCATTTTCAGTATCTCTAAACGAGCCCTAAACTAAAGAATGTGGCTACCTAGTTTTGTTTCTATCATATAATACAACAGTGATTTGAGTAAGGCTCACCCTCAAAGATGCCTTTATCATGAACTGTGGTGCCATCTTTATTTCATTCACACTGCTGAGGTTTTCTGTGGGAGCTTCCACACAAACAGCTGCCACTCGTACAAAACACACCGAGCAGATGTTCCATTTCTCATTCCTTAATGGATTTTTCTGTGGAAAGAAAAAAATGTGGAAGAAATGGTGGGAAAACATAGGAGGGTAAACATAGACAATGGCATCATCTGGACCTCTTGTAAAATTTGATGAATGAAGATGGTGATTGCACAGCAAAAGCCTCTTCCGGAAGCAGTACATATGCTCCCATGCACAGATGTGTAAGAAAAGCTTGATCTGAGCTGCTGGGAAAAGTACAATCATAGTCACAAATATGGAGACCTATTTACACTAACCATTCTTCATGTGATGGTGCAGCTCTTCACAGAGTTGCACAGAGGAATATAGATGTTTGAATCTCCGTATCTGTGATCAGAGCTTGGAAGTCACTTTATTGGCACAATAAATACTGTTTTCTAATTAAGTTTTAAAAGATATATTTTTAAAAAAAGACATTGTAAGACATGTTTGAAAGGGACTTTTCAAATTTTATGCCTTTCTTTTTTGGTCTGATTTTTCTACTCTGCAAAGCAATTTTTACTTTATTTTCAAAAACTAATGAAACTATACCAAGAAGTGCAATGAATAAAGTAACAAGTTACTTTTAAAACATTGCAGCAAGCAACAACTGTGAATTGCATTTCAAACAGTGCAGTCAATATCATATAAGTTACACCAGCACAAGGGAAATGCCATCACTTCCAGCTGCAGACGACTGCAAATTAAAGAACTTCCTACTTTGATTCCTCATTGCTTAAATTTAATCTGTGGGCAAATCAGATGCTTCCACCCACAATCTAGTATTGAAGTGGAGACTCTTAATTGGCAGCAATTAAATACATGTAAGAGAAATCACCCATTTTTGATTTTTACATGAATTAGGTTGTTACTCATTTAAAAGTCTCAGTTTCAATGTTGTGTCGCATGAGAAGCTACACAATCACAATCACATGCAATGATATTTAGTAAAGCAAAGGGGAATTAAAGAGGGAACTGTTTAATAAATAGCAACCTGCCACTGCAAGTGACATAATTCTCCTTATTCTAGTGTAACTTACACAAGAGGATTTTGGCCTGTACTAATAGGAATTACTTTTGAAAAGTAATTTTTTAAGCTCTGTTTGCAGCACCATTTTTCTTATTTATTAAAGTCACATAACATGCTTTCATCATAGAAAAGATTTCTGAGTATTGTAGAATATATACGTATATATGAATGTTCAGTATAATGAAATAACTGAGCATGTGAACACAGCAAAATTGAGAGGCTGGTGATTGTCAACAGGAGTTTAGAACAATGATAATTTATATTTTTAATGTTAGTTTTAAAATATACTCTTCAATTTCTGGGAAGCTCCTTTGCAAATTAAAAAGTGTTGGCCCGTCCCTGAATAAAATGCAAACCTGCCAATCAGGAACATAAACTTCCTATAAAAAGGACATTCTAAAGTCAGTGTGCTGTCTAGACAAGTTCTTCCCCTTAGTATAATGGTTCCCAACCTTGAGTAAATCAGAAGTTCTTGAATTGCACTTCCCAGAAGCTTTCACCCTCAATTGTGGTAGCTGAGGCTTTTGAGAGTTCCAGTCCAAGAACAACTGGGTAACTCATGGTTGGGAACCACTGCCTTAGTAAATTGTAGTACCCGTTTCTTACAGAAGGTACACAGTGAAGATTTATCTGCAATTATCTTCATCATGGGAAGGTTGGTGACAAATAAACATCAATGTAAGAGTTAATTAGGATTGTTGGCTTTGCTGTAATAGATTAATGTGGCTAGTATTCTGAGATTTTCCTCTAAAGGTGAGATTCTCTCCTTCTCTTTCATTCAGCCCCTGATCCTTTATTTATCTTTAAATAAATATGTTCCTTAAAAAGAAATCTTAATAGTTTTTAATCACTCCCACTTTTCTCTCACAATCTTAGTACTAATTTTGGGTTTTTGTTTTTGGACAGAAATGTTACAGGAATTATTTTGGTAATGTACCTAAATATTTGCAAAATTGCTATAGCTTGCAGTCATGGTCTTTTACAAATCCTTTGCTGGGGCACCTTTAATCTCACCTGCTTTCCACTGTTTGCTACTCTAGCCATTTCCCTGAGTAATCCTTGATCACACTCTGTCCTCCTGCCTTCCTTTCCATGTGAGTTGTCATTTCCTTTGACTGGGATCATACACTCTGCAAGCAGGAATTGTGACGTTTCTGTGCCCTGCACAATGCCAGGATTACTCTCTTGGGACTAAACAAATGTCAAACCATGGCAGAGGCAGTGGCGAAGTAGCAGCAGCTAGATTTTCAAATATAGACATTGGAGGAGAGAGAAACATGAAAGTGGTTTTAAGAAGGAGCCGTGATATCTCCCTCTAGGGTTTGTTAGCTGGGATTGTAATTTAAAAACTCTTCTGTTTTGATATGATGTTTTGAAAGTATCGTGGAAAGGTTTTACTTGTAAAAAGGTAAGACCCCATGTTCAATTAATCTGTTGAAATGTTGTATCTCTCTGCCAGGTGCTGACAAAGCTGCTTACCTGATGGGCATTAACTCGTCCGATATGCTTAAGGGCTTGGTGCATCCTAGAGTGAAAGTCGGAAATGAGTATGTCACCAAAGGCCAAAGTGTGGAACAGGTGAGATGGTGTTAGGACCCACCTGTTCAGCATTATACCTGCTCCACTGATTTCTCTGCTCTATAGGCAGGAAGTTTGTTGGTTACTACCTACAGTTTATGGACAAAAATATGGGGTTGAGCTGCCTCTACTGCTCAGGCTATGAGCCATAGACAGCCACTGGTCAGATGCACCTGGATTCTTGCACTAAGCAGGTGGTCTGACTTGATAGCCTTATTGGTCCCCCTCAAATTCCATTATTCTTATGATTCTATGATTACAGCTACATACCATCTCCACTCTCACCAGTGCCCATTCCATAGCCAGTGCCAGACAGGCGGACAAAAATATGGGGTTGAGCTGCCTCTATTGCTCAGGCTATGAGCCACAGGCAGCCACTGGTCAGATGCACTTTTGACCTGGATTCTTGCGCTAAGCAGGTGGTCTGACTCGATAGCCTTATTGGTCCCCTTCAAATTCCATTATTCTTATGATTACAGCTACATACCAGCTCCACTCTCACCAGTGCCCATTCCATAGGCAGTGCCAGACAGGTCAGTGGTTGGAGAGTCCAGTCTGTCAGAATACATTCACAACAGGAAGGTGGGCCATATGGGATGAAGTTATACCCAAACTGTTGTGAGATTGGGCAGATTTGGATGGGACCATATAAAGTCTCTTTTCAAGGGGCTATGCCTCAGTCTACCAGCAGCCACTATCCTCTCATGCACTGGCTATGGAGTGCCTGGCCCCATATCACCCGCTGCTGGCTTTATTTTCTGATTAAGGTGCTTGGCTGTTATTGCATTTTGGTCATAAAAGGAAATAAACCAAGGCTTGGGTGGCAAAGGTGGCTGGGGGAGGGGAGTATGGCAGCAGTTTCCCCATCCCCCCCCCCACACAACAGATGGATGGGGAGGTCTTGAGTAAACCTGGAAAAGTTATTTTTTTAGCTATCGCTCCAGAGCGCCCCAGCCACCAGGAGCATAATATATCTTATGTATACAAAATTCTGCTCAGGTTAATTTTGCTTCTTTCCACAACACTATTGTGAAACAGATAATGATCTGAACTTCTGCAGAAGTGAAAAACAAATGTAGGAAATAGGCTGAAATCTTGAATGCAGTGGCCCTGGTAACCGTGAATCCTGCAGAGAGAATTCTTTGGCAGCTGTATCTGACCCCATTGCATTACATCTGTGTGGCCAAGATTGTTTATGTGGAATTGAGACCACAAAACCCACGACTCTGTGTAGTTATTAAAACATTTGTTATAACTTCCAAGCCACTTCCAATCAAATTACACTGGACAACTGAAAAAGCAATAAGCTATGGGAACGTGCAAGGGAGAGTGGAAATTTCAGCAGCAAAGAACTTTATTGCTTTGGGCTGAGAAAACAGTATAGCTCCTGGGAATTTAATACGTTTATGCTTTATAGGAAGAGGGTAAGACATAATTGTTGAGGGCAAATTAAGAAATTCAGTACCGAAGTATGGTTTGGACCAAGTATTTTAAGTCTCCTTGTGCTGTGCTGCACCAGATCTTAATTTGGAGTAAATCATTGTACTCCAGGGCCAGTACAATCGATAAAGCTTAAATAGCTTGCTCAGAGGGAAAAGACGCAGCAATCCAGAGATAGTAAATATCATTATGCTTCCCACAGATTATTTGACTTGTCATTGCTTCACATTTCTGCTATAGGTTACCTATGCTGTAGGTGCCTTATCCAAGGCAGTATATGACAGAATGTTCAAGTGGCTGGTTACTCGTATCAACAAGACTTTGGACACCAAGCTGCCAAGACAATTCTTTATTGGGGTCCTGGACATTGCTGGCTTTGAGATATTTGATGTGAGTAACCAATATTGAAAAAAGTACATTTATTAGATGTATCCATAAAAGTCGCGGGCTGCAGAACCAAAGGTTGAGAGTTATATTTCCTTCTGTGCCTCCTGAGAGAAGAACCAGCTTGTGTAGCCATGGACAAACTACCTGGTCCCTGGGCACCTCCCCCAAAGAGAATGGTAAACCACTTCTGAATAGTTGTTGTGGGTTTTTCGGGCTCTTTGGCCGTGTTCTGAAGGTTGTTCTTTCTAACGTTTTGCCAGTCTCTGTGGCCGGCATCTCCAGAGGACAGCACTTTGTGCTCTCCTCTGTGCTGTCCTCTGAAGATGCCAGCCACAGAGACTGGCAAAACGTTAGGAAGAACAACCTTCAGAACACGGCCAAAGAGCCCGAAAAACCCACAACAACCATTAGATCCCGGCCGTGAAAGCCTTCGCGAATATATCACTTCTGAATATTCTCTACCTGAAAAACCCTGAAAAGGGTTACCATAAGTCAGGATTGATTTGATGGCACATTTTTATCCATAAAAGTAACAGTTACAGGTTTTAATCCCCTATATTTGTTAAAAGATAGAATTGGCTGAAAGGGTCAATGTGTCAATATTATTTCCTCATGGGGAAACAATTATTCTTATCTACTCCCAGAATTTCAGCATATCTCTGCATGACTCCAACTGCTCACTTGAACTTCAACTTCTGGATGTCTCCAGCTGGAGAGCTGAAAGTATTTACATTATGACATGTGCCTTTCACAATGAAAATACATATATCTCAATCTCCAAAAAGTTAATTTGGCTCAAATTCTAAGTTACACATACTGTAGTAATTGGGTTTTTTTTGGGGGGGGGGAGGAATCAGCATGAATAGCTGTGTTTGAGTCAAGATTTCAGGAAGTGTGCTTAAATAATTGTCCTTGGTGTGCTTTCTAATTAATTCAACAATCCTTAGTTCTCCCAAATGTGGACGTTGCACACTAATGTTCTGCATATTAAAATAGAAGTGGTTTCTAAAGGAATTCAATCCATATACTTGTAAACCATGTGTATGTACATATATGTCTTAGCTCCTCTGATCCTATGCAAATTGAATGTTATGATGTTCTCCCGCCTTACAGTATAACAGCTTTGAGCAACTTTGCATCAATTACACAAATGAGAAACTGCAGCAATTTTTCAATCACCACATGTTTGTCTTGGAGCAAGAAGAGTACAAAAAAGAAGGCATTGAATGGGTGTTCATTGACTTTGGACTGGATCTGCAGGCTTGCATTGATCTAATTGAAAAGGTATGGATAGTTTCATTGAAGCCATCAAAGGTTCACCATAAATCCAGTCATTTATAGTGATTAGAGTATCAAACTACGTAGGCCTGGTGATGAAATCTTGACTAAATAATGAAAAACCAAATTCTCACTAGACATTAAATGAAGTACATGATCCATATAAATAGCCCATTGTTCCTCCCATGTTTTGGTTCCTTCTGAGATATATGACTTGGTGCTCAGATTCACAAATTAAGCACAAGCTTGCCTCGCAATGATCAACAGAAGAAACACACTAGTATACAAGATATGGAGGTGAGCAGAGGCACATGTTGCGACAAATTACTTTGAAGAAGCACCAGTTCTAAATCATGGTAAGAGTATTGTCTACTTTGACTCTAAGATCAGTGTAGTTAGCTCTGAACACAGTTTACCATACAAAATTTTGTGAGGATAAAACGAGGGAGGAGAATCATGTTTGCCATCCTGACTAACTTCAAGGAATACTTTTTAAAAAAAACCTCAGTGTTATTATTTCTACTTCTTCAAAGCCCCTCATTATTATTATTAATTCCTCCTCCTCCTCCTATTTCTGCTACAATTAAACTATTGTAATGTACCTAACAGTATTTGTTCACTGATTTTTTTTACTGATGATATATCTAGTCCAACCACATTCAAAACCATTCCCTTTCTCAAGTCAGTGGCCATTAGAAATCAATCTCCTTGATTAGCTTTTTCCTGTATGTGTATAAAAGGCCTGTGCAGTCTCTGACCCAGCAAGCCAAAGAGAGCCCAAGAGCACACACAATGACCTCAATATATGCCCTGTTTTTGCTGCCTGCTTTGGACTATTAAAGAGAGCTGGCGGTGGACAATTATCTGGCAGACTGTGATTATAGCTGGTGGAATGTGTTCCGCTTTCTGGGTCACATGGTGTAAAGACCTGAGTTATAATGCAGTGTTGTGTCAGTTTCTGGCTGATTTATTGAGAAAAATGTCAGCTCGGAAAAGCATTTTGAAAACCAAAGCATCAATATTATGTCAGTGATCAGTATAAAATATAACACTTTTGCTTTGTGTAACCAAATTTAATAGCAGGCTGAAAGAGTAATATGTTAACAGCTATGGCAAACAAATTCTCCATATGTGGCACTGCTGCATGTGAATGCTAACCCAAATGGTATTCTTGGCAAATGAAATCCTGAAGTTTACCTTCATGTTTTTATGAACAGCCCTTGGGCATCCTGTCGATCCTTGAAGAGGAATGCATGTTCCCGAAGGCAACAGACATGACTTTCAAAGCCAAACTCTATGACAACCATCTTGGCAAATCACCTAATCTTCAGAAACCCAGGCCTGACAAAAAAAGGAAATATGAAGCACATTTTGAACTCCTGCATTATGCTGGAGTGGTAAGTTTTGTGCATTTCCAGATGGGGGGTGGCATAAAAAGTTTTTCTTTCATGGCATTAGACATAGGAATGAAATCTCAAGAGAAGGAGATTCTATCAAATAATGGAGAACAGTGATTGCAGAGATGAGAAAAGAAGGGCTGGGGGTAACATTTCCTTGAGGTGAAGATTGATAGATTTTCTGCATGTGGGAGAGGTGAGGTAAATATAATCCTCTGCCCTAAATGCATATGCCTTGGAGTGGAGCAGCTATGAATCAGAACCATGGCTTCAACACATTATAATTTCTGCCTGTCTTTACATTTATGTTTTCTTCAAAATTATGATAGCACAGAAAGGAAGGACCATAGCTGAATGGCAAAGCATTCCCACATTTAATTTGCTATATTTCCGGGTGATACTAACAAAAAAAAATCCTGTTTTAAACTCTGGAGAGTGTCTGTTTGCCAGCAAAGGTAATAATGAATTACTATCTCTTCTCATACTGATAATGAAGACAGACAGGAGGATGAATGAGCTACTAATTCTTTCTGAGTTTGGTGACGGGATGTCAAGTACCTGAATATAATCAGAATCCCATTGGTGTTTCCCATGAGATTTGCATAATTTGCTACCATTAATGGCAGCTAGTTGATGAAGTGCTTGGGTGCTCTGGGTCATGTGCCTAGTCATGTGCCTGACTGCACAGCCCTTGCACCTCATCAATTAGCTGCCATCACTCTCAGCAAGTTCTGCAAATCTTAGACAAACACCAATAGGATTCTGACTATTATGTAAAAGACTAAGGGGCTGGACTATCAAAATGATCCAGTGGATGAAATCTGTCATAGGTCAAACTGAAATCTGAAATCCTTGTACAGGAAAAAGAACAGCTATTTGTTTGCCCTAATTGTTGGCCTTTCCATGTGCCTTCTTTTCTCCTTTCCATTCCATTCCTTCTCTGTCTTCTGCCTGTCTGCCTAGGTACCATATAATATTGTTGGCTGGCTTGAGAAAAACAAAGATCCACTCAATGAAACTGTGGTTGGCATTTTTCAAAAATCTTCCAACAAACTTTTGGCAAGCCTGTTTGAAAATTATGTCAGTGCTGACAGCGGTAAGTGGAATGACCTCGCTACTTTAATTCCTAGATCAACGCTGAAAAAAGATGTTGAGTAAATATACCAACTCCCAATATTGCAAAGTCTTGCTGTCTCCGGTGTAATTTGCCTCATCACATCTCTGTGGGAGACAGAGAATGTCAATTCCATTGATTCAATTCAGTCTTCCTGCTGGCTCAGAATAGGTGGAAATCACCTGCAGCCATTCGCATTATGCACTGTGTTTTAGAGATGCATCTGTAAAATGTTGGTGCTTTTAATAGTCTGTCATGTGATTCACATGGGGAAATGGCTGAATGCCTTTGAAGTGAAATGCAGTATGAACTGGCTCTCAGTAGACATGGGTGAAATTGCATTATTTGTTGCATTATTTGAAGTGTTTAGAAATAAGGAGACACACCCATATTTAAAATTGAGAAAAAGGGAAACACAGTTCTCCAATTAAAAATATTGTGTACTTGCAACTGAAGAACACAGTGGTTCTCAATTCCAAATCTTTTGATTTTTAAGGCTACACAGAAAACTTCTGCAAAGCTGAAATAAGTCATAAATAGTCATTTATATCATCGTGCTTTATGGATGTTGCAATTTGCAATCTATAAACTGATGTTAAATAAGTAGCACTGTGATGCATTACAGAGATTCAGCTGTTATATCGTGAAGACACAATTGTCTGCAGCATATGTATTCTTAATCTCATTTGATTAGCTATAGTTGTCATGGATGATGAAAGGGTATGAAGAAGAGGTAGCCAAAGTGCAGGGTCCATAATGCAGACTGGAGAAGGATGTGAGACAAAAGAATGACAACCTGCCACTTCTTCAGTTTGAGGGTAACTAAGAATTACTAGGTCATTTCCAGGAATTTTCTTCTGGCATAAAACATTATTCCTTTAACTCACCCCTGTAGCTTCTCCCCCCATGTCAACTAACAGGTGATTGCCTAGCTGTTATCACATCAGAGCAGCATGTAATGCACTATTCACTCCCCCTTTACCTAGACTTTTACAATTAGGTTACAAAGTGTATAAGGAAGGCATTAGCTCAGCATAACAGTAGATGATAAGGCAGATGGCTGGCTGGATAGCCTAGTGGTTTAGGTATCTGGCTGCAGAGTCAGAGGTTGAAAGTTCAATTCATCAGTGTGTCTTCTGGGAGAAGAGCCAGCCTGCAGTCACAGGGGGCCAGAAGAAGGAAACAGTAAATCACTTCTGAGTACTCTCTAGCTACAACAACAACAACAACTGTTACTGTTACTGTTACTGTTACAGTTACTGTTACTGTTACTGTTACTGTTGTTGTTTTGTTATTGTTATTGTTATTGTTATTGTTGTTGTTGTTGTTGTTGTTGTTGTTGTTGTT